AAAATACTTCGTATTCGTTGGCCAGACACGATCAGCAACAACGAACTGTGGGAGAGAACAAACCAGATTCCAGTGGAGGAGGAAATCAGGAAGAAGTGGTGGAAGTGGATAGGACACACATTGCGGAAAGCTCCTAACTGCGTCACGAGACAAGCCCTCACATGGAACCCTGAAGGTAAAAGGAAAAGAGGAAGGCTAAAGAATACATTAACGCCGAGAAATAGAGAAAGATATGAGAGGAATGAACAAACAATGGACAGAACTGGAGAGGGAAGCCCAGAACAGAGATGGTTGGAGAAAACTGGTTTGCGGCCTATGCTCCATGGGGGGCAACAGGCGTAAGAAATTAAGTAAGTAAGTTTTCTCTGAAATGATTTTTTTCATTAGATTAGAAAAGATTTTGTATTTTTATCAAAAGTTCTTATGTTATTATTCTACGTATGTTGGTGAATGTCAGTTCCGCATTTTATGCAAATTTTTGTGATTGATGTTTCTTTCAGTTAAAGCACTGGCATTCCGAGCATCTATGGATTCATTCTCCTTCATTCAAACTCCGTTATCGTGTTCGGCTATTTTCTTGTTTAAACTACAGCTGCCTTGGTTTTATAGTCCACGACAAAGATGATAATCCGTATGTCAGTGCATATTTATCAAGTCTATTCTCAAACCTGTCCAGTGAGTTGTCTGTGGTCACCTCTTTTCATTAACGGCCTAGATTAGTGCTACTGAGCTCATTTCACCAATCAAGTCATTATACATTTCTGGGATTAAGGATGAGCCTTTGATTATTTCCTGTTAAACTAGTGATGCTCAATTTTCCATCTTACCTGTATTCTATTTAAGAATCATTCTTACTATTAATAATCGTTCAAGTATCTCCACTACGTCTTCACGTATGCTGATAAAGATTACCAGTCCTCTACTGATTATGATTTCAGATTTTTCCTTCTGTTAAATGTAGACTAGTCAGACCTACTTCTATTGGATCTAATATTACCGTGTATATATTTAAGTATATATGATCTCATAATGAAGAGCGAGATTTATTGAATCAAAATGAAATATTTGTTTTCAGTGGATTCCACTGAAGTTATTGATTTGATCACTGTCTGATCGCAACTTCATTATCGAACTGTGAAACGAACAGAATATTCAAATCAATCATGCTTTATTCCCGAGAATCCGGACATGACTGACGTTTTTTCGTAGGTACTTGTGAATCAATCTTCATATTCTGTAAACTAGCAGGATTCGAACGAACGTTTTGGAATTCATGAAGGGTAGATAGTGCTGTTAAAAAGCATATCTTGAGTTGTGTTTCCAAGTTAGGCAGACTAAATTATTGTTCACACTCCGTCATTATCTGTTTGTGCAACATGTGCAGATCACAAAATCAGTCATCAAATGTTCAATGTGGCAAGCAGAAAGAGTTCGTTTGTTTCCGTTTGTCTAAGACTATCGTCTTCTTTATTGTTACTCAAAATATTCATTTCTAAGCATATTGTCACCATGTCGCATCTATAATTGCGATTTACTTTGAATTTCCAAGGCTACATAAAACACTGTACTTCCACATTCCATTTCATAGTCTGCATTATCATCAATCATTTTCAATAAATCTTAATTCTCATGCTTTACTGTTAGATTAACAGCTTCCTCAATGATATACAGCCTGCTATTCAAATAGTTATTGAAGCCCTTCTAAATATTGTCAGAATTCTTGTCAACGATTGTTTATGAAATGCAATGTATAATGGTCACTTTATTGATTATACTTGTTGGTTAAAATCTGTCAAATGAAATTTCTTTGTACTTCATATCTGGGGTTCATAATTATATAGTCCATCAAAACTTTTGTATCATGTGTAAACCTAAACAGTTCTTCATGAATTCTCTGAAAAAATGAACGTTGATTCATCCTGTTGAAAGGTAGATATTATTATGCGTGTACAATTATGACTAAGACTAAGGTGACATAAACGTTTACGTTTGTGCTGTGCATGCATCATACGTAAAGCTTCCATTTACAAATCATGCCATATAATGAATGTGTGATTCATCAACATTTGACTGGAAAATGTTTTGACTACTTAAGCACAAATATTGTAAAATGAAACTATTAGAATTCATTATTTTCTATGAACAAATAATGTGATCGATTAGTGATGTCTTCCACGTGATAAGACATACGGTTAACTTTGCGTGGAGATGTTTCTGCTCGCTCACAAGTCTTGATTATTTTTCAATAATACTTTACTCGATATTTGTTTATGACGAAACATCTTCATAATTGTAACTAATGTGAACATAGTTGATATGATTGATTTCATCTCATACTGGATTATCATTTCCATTGTGTGAATTTTTATTAACATTCATTCAAGTAGATTATGTAAACTACTATACACGGATATTTCTTAAAGTTGACTGATCTGACGAAATAATGTAGAAATCTTTAATAAGAGGATATTATGTCGGTTAACGAGTTTCATTTGAATAAAACTAATAAAATAAGATTTAATGTATACGGCGTTATCGCCATAAGTTCAAGAAATATCTAATAATTCATGACTTCATAACTTCTTGAACTATATTAGTTGGCTAGATTTAACAGAAAAACACGTAGGAATTGAACTGATGTACAAATCAAAGTATTTTTTAGAGTTGAACATAAGTTATGCTCTCATTATCACTGGAATATGTGATGCAAAATTTACATACCATAACGAAGAATAATAATTGAAAAATAACATAATTTTAAAAAGGCAGGCGAAAGAATGTCAACAAATGCATCAAAATTTTCATTTCATTCATCAATAGTATGATTTATCACTTGGTTTTAATGATTGAATGAGTGCGTCAATCATTAAAGATATCAATTGAACAACTTACATTCAATTCAGTAGGCGTAACAATCAATACAAAATATCAGATCTAGCATTTCATCACAATATGCATTTCATTAGTACATTAAAATAAATTCCCACAGAAAAAAAAATTCATATGCCATATAAGAGTGGAATATATTTCATACACATGGATGTGGCCATTTCTAACAATATTCATGTGAGCGAAGTGACAATTCACCATGTACCAAACAAATAATTTTTAACTGCATCAATGCATCCATTTTAATTCGATTAACTGTTTCTGCCTCTCATTCTGTACAGATTTCTCCTCTTTGAAATTGTTATTATTGAGTGAATTACTGCTTATTTCACATTGAACAAGCTGTTTGTTGTCTTCTTTGAAGTTTTGCCATCAATAATGAACGCTAGTGATTTGTTTAGTATTTTATATATTTAAAAGAAATAGAATTTCATGTGATTACTCTATTTGTCTTCTTTTATGTAACAAGGAATAATCATGGTGTTCCGATTCAATAATGCTATATTTTTGACGTTTTAACAATTAAGAAATTTATGCTATCCTGTGTTTTTTAGATATTATAAACCGTTATAAGTATGAATGATATTAGCATTCGCGATTTACGTGATTTCATCAGTGATGTACTAGAATATAAGTTATTACAAACATTCGGAATATTTGTCTCAATAGGAATTGCGAATGAAGAATATTTATGCAACAGGAGCCATGTTATCCATCAATTCTAAACTAATCTTTGCGTATAGAAACAGCATGATCAGTAGGTCATTCTGCTAAAGTCCTACACCAACTTACAATCATTCCAAATTCTATATGCTGCTGCTTTGACTGTAATTGTATGAGTGTTATGTCGTTGTTGTTTGTTTGACCGATGGTTAGAGACTTTGAATGATATGGCTCAAACTCGTTTGCGATGGTGACAATGGATCCACTTTTCATCTTCTCCAGATTTCTTATCTCCCTAATGTCTAATATCGGTTTTTCTCTTCATAAAGTTAATTCACTGGGTTTTACTTCTTGACTAATATCTCGAGCTCTAGTCTTCTCTATTACCAGTAACACTTCTACTGTATCAACAACAATGCTATTTGAACTGACCGTTTGATCTTTAGGATTACTTAGCAAATTACATTGGTTACCTTGCATAAACTATTGACCACTAACCAGGATTCTCCAGGTAATTGCAGACTGGACCTACCTATCTACTTCTTCCTAATAGCCATTTATTCTATTCATTGCTTCCTCTATGAAAATTCCATGCACTCAAATTAATTGCTTCTCTCGTTGACAAAATGGGGCATCGATCACGTTGATTCCGACGAAATTCAGCTTTATTGACCGAGCATCAAACCTCTTCTAAATGAGAAATTTTTAAATTCCGTTCTAGATTTTAAATAGTTTCAACTATCGCTTTTGTTTTATGTGCAATAAGAAAGTTTGTTTTCGACAAAATAGGGTTGTGAAATCCACAAATGAACATATTATTTAATTAACTTTTAGGAATGTCTGTTATTTTAATATTGACAAACCACTAACGCAAACAATCAAAATGAGTTCCTGAAATACAAAACAATCTCATATCGAGTTCCTTTCAACAGAATTTATTATTTAAACGATCAGTACTAGAAATGATTTAGGAAGAATTTACAAACAATCGACGATTCCGAATAAGCAAATAGAGAAACACCGAAATTACAGATATAATGAGCAAAGTAACACTGATTGCCACAATAACGATAGTTACATTTGTTGAACGTTGAAGTTGAGAAATATTCTGAAATATGAAATCAAATAATCATTATTTATCAGTGAATACTTCATTCATTCTACATTGCTGTCAGCATTTGTAAACGAACAGAATTCAAGAAACAGACACATTTTGCACATTCAAAACATCATTTAACAAAGACAAGAACACACATTAACCCGACTAGCTGACACGTCAATCATTAGAACGATTTCTCTAACCAATTTAAGAAATAAATGCTTTGCAACACTTGCTCGCAACAATTTAATCGTATGCATTTCGTAGGAATTTCAAGTGTTCAATGGACATTGATAACAATTGAAATCAGAATTTCAAAAACGATTTTCTCATTATGAAAAGTACTTACTGTTTTATAACAGTCATTTTCTAACCACTCCTGGATGTGAATATCTTGACCATTGCTACATTTGCTGATAGCTGGACACCAATAACATTTAAATTTAGGTGTGGTTGCGTTAAAGCAACTTTCAGGTGATTGCTGTTTGGAACAAACTTCTGTGGAAACAATAAGATAGCAGTAGTTTAAGTTATAGAACAACAGTGAAACGAATTATCAATACTGCTACTTATGATGAACACCATTTTATAACAGTTCACCCATTATAACGAGTAATTTCGATGCTACGAATGTGTTCATGGAGTCTGATGATGATACTTCGTTTCAAAGTGATTGACCTCTACCTGACACTTGTAGGGTATTGATATAATTGTGTAAAAGGTTCAGAAATCCGGTCTTTGATGAAAAGTAATATGAAGTAAATTGAGTGTTTGTGTGATTTAACACCTCATGGAAATTCAGTATAAGAGTTATTCAGCGCAAGTGGAAAAGAAGTGATCATCTTGATAATGTTCTCGACTAATTGTTGTTTCACTATATTATCGATTGAGGTGATGTGGACTAGATGGAACTAATTCAGAACATAACCAAATGATAATGATAATGAGAAGAAATGTAATCTCGCATCGTAAAGAACATGTTGAGACAGGTGAGTTTTCGTGATTTGTGATCAGCCACTATAAATACCACAAATTATATGAGTCTAATGTAAATAGAACCAGTTACAGGTTACGTTGATTGAAATTACTCATTGTTTAACATACTTGGCATTGGTCGAAACTGCACTAATGTGCCAGATTTGATTAGTGATTTCGGAACTTTGATTGCATTGGAAATGGCGTATTCACCAGCTTAGTAGACAAAAAACAGCGTTAAATGTTTTATCTTGGTTTATAAGTGATTTTGCAAATTTTTACAGCAAACAAACAAAAAGTTTTAGTAAGTAATTTTAAATGTATATTGTCAAAATTAACATTAATTAATAAATTTTAACCACACAATATATATATATATTTCATTGAATTCATTATCTAGAACACAGTCTGTTGTGTACTGTGATTCATTCGGATAGGAGAATGTAAAACACTCTGATGATAATGTTTATTGATGGACCTTAACATAAAATATCGAACCTGATCGAGATTCGACATCGTCAGGTACCATTGATCAACAATAAAGATAACGATTATGGGATCAATCACATTCTGTTTAGTTGGTCGTTAGTCGGAAAATTTGTATTATACACTAGTCGAATCATCAACAAGCTTTGTGATCTAGTCAAATTCTGATACATGATTTGGTTTGATTTCGACGTTCGCCTCACCATGTATGATTACATACTTCATGTTTATACTTCTGAAGAAGATGAGATTTACGAAGTGAATATACTTCATCTAGAACAATTTATAGAACGATTTCAAACGTATTCCGATTCATCTTTTTCTCCGATGCAAATCAACAATTGAATGTTGATATAGCTGCACAAATATTAACTGAAATGTTGACTGCACAGTCTACATTGTTCATTAGAGGTGATTATATGGTACCTAATGTAAGTCGACGATGGTCATCATGAAAAATATAAGCTGTGTCATCAGTAATCATAAATCCTTATCAATTATTAATCTAAATCAATCTAAACATCTGATATTCGAACACAATAATTATTTCTATGTGATATTTAAGGTTGTACTCTTAATAGTTTAATGAATATGTACCTTTCAATTTAAACTAGCTCAATCTTAAATTTCAGTAGAACAATTCATAAAGAGTTGCTGTGATCTCTCAAGTTAGGTTTAAAACACATTTGAGGTGATCGAAAACACATATTGCTAATTACGCTAATCGACAAACGTTGATTGTTAATAATCTTCACTAGTAATATTCACTGAGCCAAACTGTGTCTGATATGCAACTGGATTTTCAGTGTAAAACAGATAACGATTGCTTTTTGAAGTTAAGTTAACGAATGAATGATGAACAAGATCCTTGATACATTGAAACAAAAACAAGGTTCTCTTAAATGTTTCTTACTCAGTCCAATGTCTTTACAGTACGAACTCTTCGCAATCTCAGAAGTAATTCTACTACGATCGATTTCATTAGGTATCTGAAAATAAGTGATGGAAATTCAAGTCAACATCTGTAAAAAAACAATCTCTTCCATTCAATACATATCTATCCACTGTATGGCATAACTTCACAATTTCATGTAAAAACGTTAATGAAGGATTCAACGTTGACATTTTCGTTGCTGACTCAGTCTGAGATGTTTTACTGTGGGGATTAGGCATCGTTTATCATCAACAGAATGCACTTTAGATATATAATCTATACTTCACCAGGACATTCAGGTATGGTCTTTACGTCCTCAAATGTTTACATAACATCATCAGTTCTGTTGTAAACAGAGTGCCTTAATATCTCATGAGTGATCATCCGTCCTAATTATTTCTGTTTTGATTAGCGAAAATCTCTTTCTCAGTAGTTGACGAAAGTGTGTTACAATGAGAATAATATTTTGCCATTCAGATTGTTTAGTGGCTTCGTTCAATTAGGCGAAGTGTACATTGTCATGCACATCAGTTCAAATGGAACACTTTAATTCACTTTTTATATCATTCAAGTATTTGACTTACCTTGTCGTAGTAAAAGGATATGTCACCATTTGGATATAGATAAGCAGAAACCTGAACTGGATTGTGTTTCAAAGAGATTATTAGGCATGTTTATCATATGAAGGAACATTAATTAGTACGTATTATTGTCGAATGCAACACTGTACAGATGTACGACCAGTGTTAATCAATCGCAGTGATTACTTTTACGTGGTTGGCAGGCTAGTGAAACGAGTATATATTTTTGGATACACTAGTCAAACACTCCGATTTAAATCACTTTGCAGCTAAAACTGAAATTTATCACGCTTCTTAAAATATCTCTTCGAAGCAGCACAATTTTCATTTACATTTGAATAGTCCCCTGAAATCATCGATTATAACAACTCAACACTGAATTCATATGTCTATTTGAGCTCTGAGATTGTACTTCGTCTAATGTAAAAGTCAGCATTTTTTAAATTTCGTCAAAATGTTCGCTATTGTGACGTGAAGCTTAGTCTGAGTATAAGGTATGTAAGAAAGAAAGATTAGTTTTTTGATTATGATGAATGTTAAGATGGTGGAGAAAACTTGTAGCTCAGGTGGATGATTGTGGTGGTGTTTCGTTCTCTGAGCTGGTTGTTTTGGTTGTGGAGCTTTCATTGTTCTTCTGAACAACATCATCAGCACAAACTTCAGATAGAAGTGAAGCATTCGAATTTCCCCACGTTTGACCTGTAACATGTTCTGCTAACTTCGATCGAGGTGGAGAAATTCGAATGCTTCACTTCTATCTGAAGTTTGTGCTGATGATGTTGTTCAGAAGAACAATGAAAGCTCCACAACCAAAACAACCAGCTCAGAGAACGAAACACTACCACTATGAATAATGTGAACCTCAAGAAATGTCATCGAAACGATGTTATCATTCAAAAGGTTTCTACTCAACGAATAAGTTTGTGATGATAAATGACATCCACTATTTGCATCAAGTCCCACGTGCCAATCAATGATTTTGCTATCCCATCGTCAAGTGTCCCAAATACTTAGAATAATGGTTATTTAACTTGTGATAATTAATTTCAACGTCAATGTGTCAATAAATTCGATGTGATTACAATGAACGAGTCAGTCAATATGACAAACACATAATTTACCTGCATTATCATGAGATAACCATTTAATGGCCACTAATTGTTGTAATGCTGAAAAAATAAAATTAGATTGAATGCATGAAATCCATGGAAGAAGAATGAGCTTTACAATGGGCTACTGTTTTCACTTCAACATTCATGGGATTAAGTGCAGTGAAATAAGCAATCATCACCTACATGGAAATTGTATGCGATGGCAACCTTTTGCATCAATTTCAATCCATTGACCGAATCAACCGAGAATTATGTTCTGATTCTGTTAGATCGATTCTAGAATATACAGTCTGATTCAGTGTCCACAAACACATATCCAATAATATGTGCCATATTGATCTCTCAGAAACATCAGTATCACATTTTCAATGAAATTAAATTCGATAACTCACTCTAGCAGTAGTTTTTGAATGTATTCAAATTGTCAGACTACAGTTAGTTAACGGTTTTTACATCGAGATTCTGTTAATCTCGCGGAGCACAGTATTCCATATCAAATTGACTGATACGTGGAAATGTTTTTCCATCAACTCTTACTCTGTTGAGTGACTGATCTGAATTGACTTAAACTGGTAACGTCTAATTGGGATTGCATTAGGCATGTATAGGTCTGTGTAATTTCTGTTTATTTCTAAGTAATATGCACTTTATTCAACATTATGTTCTACAAAATTCCTCTACACAATTTCCAACTAACACAAAATTTTGAACTGAACGAAATAATTTCTCCTTATTGGTTGATTCTGTAGCATCTGTAAACGTCAACATTTTGTCAGTGTTGCGTTTTGGAGATTGTTGAGTTTTAATGTCATCATGAATTGATCAATGTTAGAAGACCATTGGAAAGCTGAAAGCACCGGGCCACCATTTCATCCTAGAACCAGCATCATGAGGAATGCGCATCCACAAATCCACAAGCGGAGACAGAACACCTACAACGCCTAATCTCTTGACTACTGAATCAGCATTCAATGGCGTTAACGAATAACATATTAACAGAGTGTACACAAAAAAGTAATTTTGTAGTTTGTAGAATAACTCACCATCCAATGCAATGTGTATAATATACTTGCGTACATTGTCTTTATAGGTAACAATAGCTTGGTTCAGGTAATCTGTAGCAGCACCTAAATATAAATTGCCTGTTTACAATAAATAAAATCAAGGAAGTAGATATAATTTTAAGTTATAAATCAACGAAAAACATTTCGAGAATAATTCAAAATTATTACTAAGTACAAATGGTACTAAGCAACTTCATTCACTTGACATATAATTTCTTACCCATGTCGAATATATTTAACCACTTGTAATGCTCACCAAAGAATTCAATTTGGAATATTGAAGTTAAAACCTTAAATTAAAAAAAAAGTGCAGAATTATGTGTTCCAGTTCCGTTAAACATAATGAAGAATTTACCGGATCTACTTCAGTTATTTTGTTGAAGTCAGCATTAACATTGGGAGGATTCTGATTGAGACTTACTATTTGAGAATAGTAGTAATGATCAAGCTAGTTATTCATCATTATTTTTCCAACCACACTCTTACCTGTACATATGTTGCGTTCGTATAAACACTAGCGTTATATAAACTTAGGCCAATTTTATTCAGTTCTTTACAAGTTGTTTGGCATTCCAAGTAAGTTAGAAATGAAATTCCAATTAAATTAAATAATATCAACCGACTGGATAGCATGTTGTTATTCTTATTCTCAATTGAAATATCTGAAATGAATAATACAATGTCAATCAGTCAAAATGAAGTTATAATATACTACTACATTTATTGATCAAAACATCTGAGTGAACACTCACCACAACTCCTGATTAAGTGAATCGTTGAGAAATGTGATTTATATATAAATATGCACCAATCAAATTTCTATAAATTTTATTTCATAAAAAATATTTATTTCTGATTGGAAACAGATAAATCAGATTTAAACATTAATAGTAACCGACGTTAAGAATAATGGATTTGAAGTTTAAGTGAACAAACGAACTAACGAACATAATTATGGAATTATAATCCACAGTTATCTGCTGACGCGACTCGTTCAACTGCATTGAAACAACTGACAGAGTTATCCATACAACAAGGACGGTTAATATGGAGTGGTGAATATTGTAGAGTTTAAAAAGAATCATGAACTCATCAATATCAAACCAATGGATGATCGTTACTTTAAAGTGTGAGACTCATTTGCAATGTGCATTCACGACTCCTAAACTGAAATTCGGATACAAAACGTTGATCTCGTGTGTGAAAAATGAGCTTCTTTGCCAATGAGGCGTTATCCGGTAGTGTTGATATCGAACATCTAAACAGGAAGTCCTAGGTTCGATTCTTCCTTGGGATATCGTGGATGCTCATTATTAAGAAGTCCCATCTCCCAGCTCTGAAACTCATCTAATTATAATTTCTGTTAAAAACTAGACTACCCCATGTGCGACAGAAAATCGATGCAACGTTGATGACCCGAAATTTGACACATTCAGAAAAAATCAACGTCACATGAAGTTTAGAAAGAAACATATAATTCACCCATATTCAGTACACCATATTCACGATGATTATACACGCGCTGGATTACAATGAACAATGGTTGTCACATCATTGATCAATTCATCAAGCAACTCATCTGCTAATAAGAAGTTATCTTACATTTTAAATGGCATCAATGTTTATTAGAACAAAGTATATGGTTGTCTAACTTGACAAATGCACTTCGTCAGAAGGAAGGTAATCACAATTCACCAAACTATTTACATTCTGCAGAAGGATACAACTAGAAGTTTTGGTCTTTTTAACATTGTGTGCATTTAGATAATGTGACTTGTAGAATGTAGAGTTATCGCACAATTGTCTCATTCAATACTACATAAAATGATCAAGTTCATTTAACTTCCGCCACGTATTATGTGTTGTCGCATGCCAATCAGTATTTAGACGATGCTGATATCGATCGCCTGCAAATGACATTAACGTATATCAGTCTATTGAGCTAAACTGTTGGTAGAACTGTTTACAATGATACGGCTCATTCATTCACATTCTGAAACATTCCATTTCATTAGGCAGATAACATAAGATGCCTTAATATGGCTTGTTCACTTTTATGTTGGTCAAATATGTTGTGTGTTGTTAATCATTCATTCAAATGGCACATATGTATGATCAGTTGAATAGAAAACTAGAAAAATTATAAACAACTGCCTTATTGACTATTTTCAACATTGATAACTATGCAAAGGGAAAGCCAAAATCCATAACTCATAATCATGAATTTCCGCAATGTTGAGATTTTAGTGCAAATTACATTTCACATAAGTTTATCGTTTTAGAGGGAAGATTTCAAACTAATTAAACTGTAGTGGTATACTTTTACAAAGAGAACACAATCGCTGAAATGGAAACATTTATTATTGTACTTCCATCTTACAATAATTGTTCTATTGTACTCATTTTGTTTAACTGTACTGAAGATGATAACGAGCGCGCCAAGTGTGTAATTCACAATCCGCATTTGTACTCGGTAGTTGTTGGCTGCGTGTTTTATTACGGTCTTGATATTATTTCGATATCTCGAGACCACGAATCAATACACCTCTTCATCCAGTTATTGTCTTCTTACTGATTTCTGGATCTATCGGGATTTTACTAGGTAATCTCGCTAATAATAGTTTCATTCAAACCAAGGCAGCTGTAGTTTAAACAAGAAAATAGCCGAACACGATAACGGAGTTTGAATGAAGGAGAATGAATCCATAGATGCTCGGTATGCCAGTGCTTTAACTGAAAGAAACATCAATCACAAAAATTTGCATAAAATGCGGAACTGACATTCATCAACATACATAGAATAATAACATAAGAACTTTTGATAAAAATACAAAATCTTTTCTAATCTAATGAAAAAAATCACTTCAGAAAAAAGATGCACACTAAATATGTTTGAAGGAAATTCATCTTTGCTCAAGCAAACACGTACATCAGAAAAAAATGGTCATAAAGATATGCCGTTTGAATGAATCATTAACAATACACAACATACTTCACTAACGTTAAAATCGATCATGCCATATGATACATAGTAACCTTCAAGTCGATTGTTCTTCACATAGGTTACTATTAATGGTTTAGCACGATTTATCTGTTTCTGTTTTTCAATATTCTAATTTTATTCTCAGTGTTGTAAAATTCATTTTATCATGGTTTCAAAGTATTCAATAATGTAGTGAGATAGGAATGTGCAATATTCCGACAAAAATATGCCGTTTTTTCAATGACCAAAATATCTCGAAAAGGAAACCCCTGCATTGTGGCTAACTGTAGACTCGGCACAATTTACCGAAGACATCCTCCTCTCATCCTCAAAGAGCATTGGTCAAATATAACTACCCGATTCGCATCAGGCACGATAAACCGCGGTCGGTAAGTGAGGCAGCCAGGACATCACCAGGCATGCAAGAGCAGACCACGATGGTAGTTCACGGCATACCCAAACTCACAGGCGGTTGCATGGACGAAGCTCACCTGCACGATATGCTAGAGTGGCGATGACTTTCACGTAGCCTATGCCTTCACTCTTAGACGGCTCTTTGCATTTCTAGGCCGCCTCGTCCATCGGATCACATTTCTGTCAAGTCACCACGTCTGATAGCCGTGAAATTCAGGATCAGGAGGACCTGACTGAAGCACTCCAAGCTAGGCGCAGTTTGAAGAACCACCTGTCTGGTCACATTAGGCGTGGCGAAAGCCGGCTCAGATCTGTGAGACAGCAGAAGAGATGGCCATAACAAACGAACAAAATTGACGGTTGACCTCGATCGACAACCCTCAGCACAAAAGATGAAGATAATTGCCTCAATGAGTGAACTCCTTTCACAGGCATAAAACCGACAGGGGCCAGTTCTCACGGAACTTCCAAAATCTGTTTGACAATACGACAACGGCTGTAGCGGAGAAGACACACCAGTTGATGAAACACACCACCAACTGCCTCTATAGCAACGCAAGCGGACTAAGAAGGAGAATGTAAGAAATCAAGAATATGGATCTGAATATCATAATCCTTACTAAAACATAGCTATCTCCTAACATTGCAGACGACGAATCGAACTTTCATGGCATGGCACTGTCTCGAAGCGATAGGGTACATCAAACAGGAGGCAGAGTGGCTATATACATAAACAGCCACTGAAAAGCTGAGCGGCTATACGACACCCAACAAACTGAGGTTACAGAATCATGTCGGTGTTTTTTCAACACCAATGGCATGAAATATAAGATTGGAGGGATTTACCCACCTCCCTCAAAAAGACAAACTAACTGAGGTAATACTTCAGCTGCCACTCCTGAAGTTTTATCAAATACTCTTAGTTGCAGATTTCAATACGGCATCTCTAAATCTCAGCAATAAGGGGACAACTCCCACTGGTTGGTTCCAAAAATGATTTGGAGCAGCCATTAGAAGCCGTGGGCTTACTGAGCACAAATGTTGTGCCTATAGATGAACTAAACAATCAAAGTCCTCAAACCCGGATTATTTTTTAACGAATGATCAGCTCCTGGATCAGGATGCTCAAGTCCATACACCAATATGAAGTAGTGACCATGGCACAGTCCTGTTTAACATGGTCATAAGCGAACACTCACAAAGGACGAACACGAGCCATATCTTTGCTAAACTAGGGAAAATAATACAAGAATGAGAGAGATCCTCTTACGTGCGCCACGGCCACCCGAGTGGTGTAGGCTGAGAGTAGATGATCACTGGCAAATAGTGAGAGACATCATAGAGGATGATGTCCATACCAAAGTACCTCAGTCACACCACATGGGTTAGGCGCGGCATGAAAAGCTAGCTACATGCAATAAGGAGAGCCTGGCACAAGTGGAAGGTCTCTTTCTCTCTCTTTCCATTGAGAAACAGATGCAATACCAAAGTTCGAAGTGACAGGAGACGATTCCAGTTGAAGCTAGCTGCCAAAATACTGGCAAATCCGGAGCATCAAATGCTCAGAATACTACGCAAATCTAGTTCCAGCTGACTTGTTACTAAGGAAACTAAATACTTAAGCCCACGTATGTCATCAGGTTGTCTTGAAACAGTGTGCGGAAGCCCTCAGTTCACCGATATGTGTCCCGTTCAGACATTCACAGGAGTCACGCCAACTCTCAGCTGAATAGAAACTAGCTACTCTGTCTCCAATCTTCACAGGAGGAGGTAGAAAGGGCCCAGTCTGCCACAGACCAGTCGCGTTACTACCAATTCTATCAAAGGTAATGCAAGGGCTGGTGAACTAACAAATGAGGGCGTACATGAATAAGAAAATATACTCCATGTTGCTCATCACTGGTTTCGGAAAGGCAGGTCGTGAGCATCTAATCTTCTCATGGCATGGGACAGTTGTACATCCTGCTTGGATCAAAAAATATCGGCGCACGTAATATTTCTCGACTTTACAAAAGCCTTCGACAAAGTATCCCACGCACGCCTAATCACGA